ATAATACCACCGGCTGGTTTGACAGTAGTCAGCGCATCCTTTTGAATGACCCCCCACTGTTAATTGCTGAAGCTATCGTATTTTAAACATATACTAGTTATGGAAGTTATAACGATAGTATAGGGATGGTCTGCTCATAGATGGGTCGCAATTTTTTTATTGCGATAACTTACCTATTTCCTGTTACTCTAAAAGTAAAACAAAGCCTTTCTATTTACCAAGAGGCTTATTTCAAATTGTCCAAAAAATTATTTGCCATCCTGTATATATAAACTTTCCGTATGCAGAGATGTCATACGTATCACATGTGGCGTAGAGTTCTTCGAGCCAAAGTTCTCCGACTCGATGGCGATGTTAGAGAGATTAGAGAGGGCAAAAGTTAACATCTGGTTCACGCTTTCCGGTCTTCAGGGTGTAGCCAGACAACCTCCTTCTCATTTTAACATTATACGCAAAAATTGTCCTCATATTTTTACTCGTCACAGCCAATCTCTGGCAGTTCCGAATTTAACAGATTGTTCCCAAATTGCGCCTTGGATGGCAGGAGAATGAAGGACAAAATTGTGGCAAAGTTCAACTTGCCGAATCTGCGGCACAGATGTGCAAGTTTCACTGAATAATTGGATCAAGAAGATTGAAACGGCCATCTTCGTTGATGGCGGCGTTTGTTCATTCTAGGATTAAAATTACGTTCATTATTAATGAATTATTTATGGTTCCCAGTATATTCATATAATTAAATAGGAGATGTGGGCGTATATATAGGGGAGATATAGGGAGTGTGGCATGGTGTAAGATTAGGAAAGAAGCCTTACACAAAGCCGCAGCTTTTACAAAGGGTAAATTTTACTATATTTTTTTTTATAGAGAAAAATTTACCCCTCAGTCAAATCAGATTAGTATTGGATAAAATTTCATATTCAGAGGTAACTATCTTAAATTAAAAGAGATTTAGATTTTTATCGAAAGCAATTACTATTGTTAAACCCCATAGGTAATAATACATCGAATAGTCCAGTATGCGATATATAGCCGCGTTCTGGAGCGGTACTGCCTACAGTATCTCGAGATCGATAGGAAATGATTCCAAAAGCACAAAATCCGCAAGTAACAAGTACAACAACACACTTTATCGAAGCCCGTTCTTTCAATAGAACGAACGATTTCTCTACTACGTACGAACGATTTTCTTCCGTCAGAATAATGATTTTCAACTAACATAGCCGGTCGCGAGAATATTAGCTTTACAATCGGTTAGGCAATCGTTTTGATAAGCCGTATCAGAAAATTGCGTTTCCACAAAGGCGATCCGAACCAAGTTTCTGCACTGACAAGTTATCGTGGTCAGCCAATGTCTATGATGCCTACAGTAGAAGGCGACTTACTAAACAACAAACCCGGAAGAGTTCTCCTTAACACTTCGGGTATTGGCAAATATATTGTATATATAAAGATTTCCTTTAATTATTAATCACATCTCGTTTTGTTGCGGTTTATTTATTAAATAT